TGCATCAAAATGAAACATTAAGATAGAAACAAATTTATGAATAGTAAGTAGATCACTGATGCTTACCGCCATTTTCCCAACACAGCGGGTCGAAGCGGTCGGTCCCCTATTGAACGAAATTCTAGACTGAGGCGAGAGGTTCTGCAGCACCACCACCACGGGGTGCCCTCTGTGGTCCAGAATCGGTGAATACCCACTACTTTCGGCCCTATTTTAATTGCATTATTATTTATTATTTGATTTACATTTTCATATTGATGATTTGCATTTTCAACCAATAACACATGCGATCGTCTTCTATTTTTGATGATTTTTTTGCTTTTTCTTTAGGTAATGATTATTGGACCTAAAATTCATTGACATGCGTTCGTCTCACATTGTCTCGTTAATATTTTTTGTCTCTTTCTATACATATTTCTTCTATTGTTGAGACTACGACGACGATAAGACTTATTAGTCTCTACTTACGAGACTAATAAGTCAATATGTAGGAACTTATTACAATAATTCTGATCTAAGAAGGATATAAGCCAAGATCGGGTATGAGATGCCGCCACCAATGACATGTGTTCGTCTCATAGATGTTCTCATATTGACTAAAGAATTCATTGACATGCATTCGTCCCACATCGTCTCGTTGATATTTTTTTCTCTTTCTATTCATATTGCTTCTAGTTTTAAAACTTTACGAAGCTTTACTTGATGCTTTAGTGATATTATTGCTAGAATTGAAATTTTCAGACTTCTAACGAAACTTCGGTATTTGCACTTTCGACCATGTTTGTTGATATGTATGCGATGCCACCACCAATGACATGTGTTCGTGTTCTCATATTGACTAAAGAATTCATTGACATGCATTCGTCCCACATCGTCTCGTTGATATTTTTTTCTCTTTCTATTCATATTGCTTCTAGTTTTAAAACTTTACGAAGCTTTACTTGATGCTTTAGTGATGTTATTGCTAGAATTGAAATTTTCAGACTTCTAACGAAACTTCGGTATTTGCACTTTCGACCATGTTTGTTGATATGTATGGGATGCCACCACCAATGAAATGTCTTTATCTCACAGTTGTTGATGTTATTTTTGTATCTTCTTTGACCAAATAATTCATTGCCATGCATTCGTCTCACATCGTCTCGTTGATATTTTTTTTTCTTTCTATTCATATTGCTTCTAGTTTTAAAACTTTGTGAAACTTTACTTGATGCTTTAGTGATGTTATTGCGAGAATAGAAATTTTCAGACTTCTGATGAAACTTCGGTATTTGCACTTTCCATGTTTGTTGATATGTATGCGATGCCACCACCAATGAAATGTCTTTATCTCACATTGTTGATGTTATTTTTGTATCTTCTTTGACCAAAGAATTCATTGCCATGCATTCGTCTCACGTCGTCTCGTTGATATTTCTTTTCTTTTTTTATGCATATTGCTTCTGGTGTTAACACTTTACGAAGCTTTATTTACTTCACAACAATTTCTTCAATCTTCTATAGCTAAAACTTTGTTTCTACTGTTTCAGAAAAAAAAAAAAGTTTTGCGACAAACTTTCCGCTTCTTTGAAATATACTTATATAACTTTGACTTTCATTACAGAGAAAAGTATAAATGCAAATTGTTTTTGACTTTATGAAATGTGGTGTCTAAATCTAAATTATGGAGTATATTATATTTTTATTTCAAATTTCTGACTTGCTATATAAATCGTCGAAGTTCATATTCTATTTCTTTAATTTCATTCAAAGGAATGAATTCAATCTTATCCCTTATAGTATTCTTATTTAATCTTTCACAACAATGGTTGTTTATTTTGTTAATATCTGATTACAAACATAAACATTTTGATGTCATGACATGTGCCAACTTATGAATTTTAGGTACATAAATTCTACTTTATTTGCATGCTAAGACAGTTTCATTATGACTATCTGCAACTACTCAGTTACGTTCCAATTGGCACGGACCTATTATTAGCTTTTCCGTATACGTATTTATCTAGCATTTTTTTTAAATTCAACCGTAAATTTAAACTCGTGATTTCTAATCATCGGTCTAGCATTATCAGTATTTTTTTTTGATAAATTTGTTACTGTACTTTTCGTAGTCCTGAATAATTTATGTTGACAGCTGTGTCAAAAATGTCTACAAATTCATGGATACGCGTTTTATTACCGCTGAATTTAGTTAACATTCTATTTGTTATTTCTCAAGATATATTGTCTGATGTGGACACATCGTTTGAGCCATTATTACTATTTTAAAATTACCTATTTTATTTAATTTTACTTTATACGCTGTTTATCACCTTCTTTTAATTTTCTCTTACTATTTGTATGACGCAGCTGATCCGAACATAGAATATTTCCCCATAAAACAATGCTTTTCCTAATGTTAAGAAGTAATCACAGTGAGAAGAAGTTAAGTCCCGTTGACAACCCGTAGGCATTCAGTTTTGGACGTAGTGAAGTGAACGATTCGATTAGATTAAACTTCGTCGTGATGCACTGGCAATATGGTTGCGTCGAGAAATGAAATTTTCAAACTCCAACTTAACTCTGGTTTAGATTGAAATTCAAAAACATTTATTCTGTCTAGGCTGTTACAAGCTCTTGTAAATGTCAACGCTGTTTAACGCTAAGTAACAAACATCTAAATTGTTTAAATGACAAACCATTAACTATGATTCCTATTTTGTTTTAATAATTAATTATTCATCTGTTATGAAGACAGTGCCTGCCTACTGTTCTAAATTTGTTGTTTGAATCAAAGATTTAAACCTTTTGAATTAGTTTGAAGGTTCATGAAAAAACTTGTTAAAAGAAATAAATAAACTCAAGATTAGATACTAATAATTATAATATAAAGTTTATAGATTTTTTTTATTCAAAGCATATTAATGAACATATTGTAAATATTTAGTGTTAAGAATTTGTAATATGTATGTAAGATACAACTTTATTGTTATTTGAATTAATGTAAGTTTTTAAACCTTATGTTTTATTGAAATCAATTAAGTAAGTACGTATTCTATATGTAATTATATGTCACGTTAATTGATAAACGTAAACATTGATTGATATTAGACATTTTTGACTTTTGATTGTAAAATGAAGCTTTTTTAGCTTAGAATTTGTGATACAGTTTATACCCACTATTGTTTGTGAAATAATAAAAATTATAACAAGTAATTTGCTTTTTTATTCACATACTTCTTTGAAAGTTTTTACTATACCTAATATCTTCCACATTGAATTGAGAGTTAAAAAAAATCTAAAATTAATATAAAAATGTTCCCGTAGTTCATCCAGAAATGACCCTAATTTGAATTTAAAGAATATTTTACTAGAAATAATTCCAGTCGGTCCAGGTTTTAGACGAGATTTGGACTTTGGGACCTTAATGGCCATGTCGAATTTCCTCTAGTACCTATTATTAAGGCTGCAAGCTACAAGGCAGGGCCACATCTTCGCATTGTAGGTAACACACTATGTAAAACGAAATACCTTTACAAGTAGTAAACATTTGAAAGAAGATATAGCAATTGGACTTCGCCGTTACCTCACATAAGGTGGGTGGAGTCCTTTGATGGAATTATCATAATAATGATCATCTTTATTTGCTAAAAACACGGTATATAAGTATTACATAAAGTGGATTGAGCACGTGTTTTGCCATTTTAAAAATAGCATGCAAATACATAATATCTATAAAAAAATGCTATTCGCTGTCTTGTAGCCTATATGTATGGAAGTAACTCGCCAGGACCGTAAGATCTCGGCAGCATAGTCATCATCATCATCATCAGCCTAATAATGTCCCCACTGCCTTCCCTATGGATGGAATAGGGAGATTGGGCTATAACCCACCACGCGGGACCAGTGCGGATTGGCGAGTGCTCACGACTGCACATGCAGCTGGGACCATAGGCTTAACGTGCCTTCCAAAGCACGGAGGAACTCGAGATAGAAGATTTGATTGGTCACCCATCCAATGACCGACCACTACGAAAGTTGCTTAACTTCAACGATCGCAGGCGAACGCGCTAAGCACCCGTGCCATCGAGCTCGTAGTTAGTGCATTATAGCCTATATAGCGAAGGATGCTGGTTCGATTCCAACATGATAGAATCGCTTTCTTCTTGTATAAAACTAGATATGTAAACCTAGTCTAATGCCTTAATAATAATAAAACACCATACCATATAAGTACCATTCGATTAGCATACAGTAAAGAATATGAAGATATTTTTCAAATTGCCGATCAATCCCAATGTTGTCTAGTATCGAAATCTTCACAAGCCTATTAATGCCCCCACTGCTGGGGCATAGACCTTCAATAGAATCATCTCATGCTCATGCAGCCTTCGCAGCGTTCACGAATGCATCCGCGACGACACTACGCTTTCCACTCGGAAAAAATTATTGATTTATGTATGTTAGCAGCTACTATACAAGTTTAACGGGAATCCGTTAGGCGTAGCTCAGTCTTCGTGGGTTCGGTAAATGCGGCGTCGTGGATCCGAGAAGGCTTTTTGATGTGAATTTAAACTCGTATGAAATATGTCGCGAAGCAAATGAAAGTCTTCACAGTACGGCCATACAAGTAGCCTTCTCGAATCTGACTGAGCTATGACAGATTCCTGTTAAACTGGCGCCCAAGTTGGTGCTTTAGATTTTCTTAAAATCCGCAGTCTTTTATTAAAATTAGTGTCACTGAATACGTTTTATTGTTTTACTGCGTATATGATGTTAACGACTGCAGATGCAGCCAGATTAATGCCAGATACCCGTTAAACTGGCACCCAGTGTGGGGCCATAGTCTTTATTAAAATCAGCGTATATCATCATGAGTGTATCAAACGTACTCAGTGACTGAGTACGTTTTATTATAACACCGCGTAGGTGCTAACGACTGCAGATGCTGCAAGTGTAACGGGCTTAACGTGCCATCCGAAACACGGATGAAGTCGAGATCAGAATGATGCAATACCTACCAGGCATCTCGCAGATGCAAGTCCTCTTGTGGTCATTGTCTTCCTTCCAGCCGAATTTGAACAGCAGCAAAGTGGGTTCCTTAGGGTCGTATTTGAGCGCCAACCACTGGAGAGCCACTTCTAGTGATAGCACCATGGAAGGTGATACCTTCGCTAGTGTTGTTACGTCGATGACGCTCACTGGAAATTAGGAGTGGCTTTTTAGGTAAGGAACCTTAAGAGTAACAACAGAACCCTATACAGCATATATATTCTGTGCCTAAACTGCATACAATGTAGTTGTTAAGGGCTAATTTACGCCGAGACAATCACATGCGACAGTGACGCATGCTACATATTGTGGCATGGGTCATCTGGTAGCATGCTACAAATAGAAACATTTTGCAACATGCAGTAGTCTATTTTACGCCGAGACAACATCGTACCTAGATGATTTTAAAGATTTGTATGGTGATTGTTTATATAATTTGAATTGATGACATCCTACAACACTTCCTTCTTTTTATGATACTCAATGAAATCTTAATGTGGTGGCCGCTTACCATTACACGCTTGTTCGCCACCCTTCTAACTTAAAAAAGGAAAAAAATTTTTAGTACACCTCTCCATGACATCACATAACCGATAATTTGCACTATAAAAACAAATAACAGCAAAACGAAACCTAAACAAACTGTTTTGTACAAAAAATGTCGCACGTAATTCATCGTGTTCGGTGACACGCTGCGATACTGCCACATGACGCAATGTGTTGCCATGCCGCACGCATCCTGCCACAATGTGTGAAATTTTTAATTAGCATGTATGTAGCATGCGGCCTTGTGGCATGCTGCAATGGCGCATAGTGTCGCCTCGGCGTGAATCCGCCTTAAAAGTCTGTTGCAGCGCTGTAGGAGCATCAATCAAACAAATAAAAATGTAATGATATATAAGTACCTACTTTAGCTAATATTAATTTAAACTCACATCTGGTCAATAAGAATTCCGTAGGTATGATGGCTGGATACGTAGTTCCTGGTGCGTTGATGTAGTCCAGGTGCATAGCTGTACCCAATCCAGGGGCTCCACAATTCATACATGTCTTCCTGTGTACGAAAAGGACACGTTTTATTTTTGTATGCAGACTGGGCTGTTACAGTGAATCGAAAGGAAATTCATTTTTAAGAAAGTAGAGAACATGCTCATCTTTGGTATTATTAGATTATGTTTATTAATAACCCTTTATTTCACATAGTTATATACAGCCAAAACATTAACATTCTGATAAAATTGAATTTTGATTGATATGAAACATTTAAAATATTTAAAAAAAAATGATTCTTAGAAATAATATTTCGCCATGTATCCTGTAACTTTGTGCAAATTAAAAAAAACATTAATTCAAAAGAATTCTGATTAGAAAACATTATTTTAAATTAGATAAATGAGATAAGATAAAAAGCATTTTATTGCACAACAATAACATAAAGAACACACAATACTATACAAGGCAAAAACAACTCCAGTTGAACAAAGGATGGTCTTATCGGTAATCAGCGATTTCTTCCAGACAACCTAATGAGCTGGGAAACATAAAGGAAGATAAATATACATATATTGAGGGAGGTTGTGTGAAATTAGATGGTGCTTCTAATACTTTTTTTTTTGTTTTCGTAGGACCAGCGTAGAAAAACCACATACCTATGATAGTGGTTGAAACACAAATTTATTTTTAGCCCAAACAAAAAAAACCGTAGTGATGTGTGATTTAATCTTTCAAAATTACCCTCATAAAACAAAGATATAGCATGATGAAGTTTTAATTAAATAGTCCGTCAACGCAGGCCGATACTTTTGGTCGCAGAGACATGATATTTAGTAAAAATAAGTTGTTTCAATGACATAGGCATCAAGCGAGAAAGAATTTTTTGAATATTCCACCGTGAATTAGGTGATATAGGGTTTTTTTTTTATTCGATCTCTACGACGAAAAATATGGATAGAAAGTTATCTTTAAAATATATTCGGCAGATTTGAAAAGAATAGATATAGAAGAAGACATACATATATATCTGATAAACTATGGACTGCTCTAACATTATGCCCAGTAGTCCTTCATATGTCAAATTATGAAGTTTAGCTTTCAGAGTACTAAATTAATAACAAATCAGAGCAAATCTGCTGTAAACAGGTTAATATCTGAAATCTACTTGGTCAGGGGCATGGCCACCCTGATTTTTCAGCTAAGTAAACAGTTTCTAAGTAAGTAGGTCGACTATATTAAATCTATTTGGACATGGGCATGGCCGTCTTGATTTTTCTGTTTAGCAAAGAGTTTCTGTTAGGCATAGGTCATGCACCACAATTTAAGCGAATCACTTTTGAGCCGCGAGTGCCGTATCTTCCCTTCTTGTTTTAATCTAAGGCATCAATCCGTTAGTTTTCGGTTTTTATGGCACGTAACAAAGGGCTTTAGCGCGGACGTCCGGCGTGTCTGTCCATCGACACATCAGTAAGTACTGGAGTTGCGAATGAGAGTGGACGCGTGTTTGTAAATTTTTTTGCTCGTTTGTTACTGTAGTTCGCTGTAATAGCTAATATTATGAGCACTAACGAAAAAATTAAATGCCTTGTTATTTCTAGACTTCTTAAAAATAGCCAGCAGCCACCATCTGTTTCTTTTTAATAATTAAAAAATAGTTAAAAGTACTAAAAATGTGTGCGTGTACTAGTGTACACACGTAAGAAGTGAAACTTCTTTATGGCCTTATTTTTCGAAAAATGATCTACATGCAACTTTCCAGAAATTGGTTAAATCAAGTTAAATTAGATAAAGTTGCTGAGCGAGTATCGCTGAGCGAGTATCGCTGAGCGAGTATCGCTATGCGAGTTTGGCTGAGCGAGTCTTATCTTTAATAACTATTGTCACTCAGCTACAAACGAGTAGAGAGAGTTCTCGCCGGCGACAGTGTGATCATTCAGCTATCAACTATTAATATAAAAAAAGATGGCGCGTAACGGAAAAATGTGACGCGTAACCGAAAAATGTGACGGTAAATTTTTTTCCAACGCCGATAAAGAAGTTTCACTTCAATAAATAAAAAGCTGCGGTAGCTAATATCTCAACCATAGATGAATAATTGGTCTCGCTTCACTTGACTAGATACCGCGCTGTCAAAAAACAACAGCTCCATAAATGCGGCAACTCATTATTGTAGTGTGTCAATTGTCAATTTGCCAAAATTGTCAAAATCGAATGTCATAAATCGTGTAGCCAGCTGCTCAACTGCTACCCGAGTAATAGGGTAAATATTGTAGGTTGTAATTAATATGTAACAGCCCCTCTAGCATGACCACCGAAAAGGGATATTATAAAGCGATATATCGACATTAACTTCAGACTACTATGGAGTTTGACAGTAGTCTGACAGTTAATGTCGATATATCGCTTTATCATATCCCGTTTTGGTGATCATGCTAGAGGGGCTGGTTATAAATGTAACTCATAAAATACTTAAAGAAGATGCACTTAATTAAATGCGAATATATCAATATTTTTGTTACTTATACGATTAAGCGTAGGTTTCTTCTTCAGAAAAATGATTAGGCCTCATTTTTTTTATTTACATGTAATATTTACTTGCACATTATTACAGTGATTCAAGTGTGATAAGTTGGTCACTACATACGAGACATTATTTTAACTCAGTAAGGAAGCTGAGTGTGTAATGATCAATTCACACGAGCTGAATATGACGTTTTTCAACACAATTGAGCGAAAAACACAAACTTGTATTGTTACTGTTATAAAGTTCTACTTACCTTTGTTGCCAAGTATTCAGACATTCCGGAGCTACCTTCAAAAACTTTTCAAAATCGGTTGGTGACAATACTTTTGACTTTCGGCCATTATATCCATCAGAACGTCTCTTTAGAAATGTCGTCAAGTTACTATGTGTACTACGGCTATTGCCGCCAGTTGATTTATAAAATCAACTGGCGGCAATAGCCTATCACTCGCGTTTCGTGCCTCGATAAGTATTTCCGGCGGGGTTGAATTAAAATTGCGCATATATTATTAATAAATGCTAACTAACCTATAATAAACAAAAAAACGATTTCAAAAAAACTGAATATGAAAAAATAAGATTTACCGACTGATTTATTTGAGGTCGATCGTTATTATTATCATGATCTCTCTGCTAAATACATACCTTGGTATCGACTTCAAGTATATCGGGTGGTAATTCTTATTTGTTATTTTTTTTAAGTCGGTTTTATTTTTGTTATAAATTATTTCATTTTACCATTTTTAGTGACAAACAGTCACTACGCTACTAGTTAGAAATTGTACACGCGTAGTAGATTCACACTGGTGAAACCGTGGGAAATTGCCAGTAAATTATATACTAAAACCTTCTCCGACAAATACGCATTTATATGCCGAAAACCCCATCCAATTCGGATCCGCAGCTTTGAGATTATCATGGACACACATACATACAGGTTAAACTGAGAATATCATTTTTTTGAAGTCTGTTAAAAGACCGACTGTGCAGCCGGAACAGCAGCAATATAAAAAATAGAATAGCTATAAATAAATGTTTCTTAATACATTAGTTAACGTCATTTGTGTTTATATACATAAAACGAAATGTTTATTTGTCATCTTAACCCTAAAATAATTTATATATGATGAAATTTAAAAAAAAAATACACCAAAAGTATGGTAGTTAATATGCTGAATTGTGAAACCAAAAACTTTGTAATTAATAAGAGTCAGTTTACGAGCAATTGTCTTGAGAAAAATGTTATTAAAAATAATAACACAATATTATAGGAATAAAAGGTAGATTACAAAGATAAACGTTGAATAATATAAAACTAGATTAAGTTTAATTGCAAGTTAAATAGTAAGTTTAAAAAACATAGGTTCAATAAATAAATGCACTTACAATAAATTCACATTATAAAAATCTCAAGCATAGGGACTTCATTCTTGTATACGCGGCAACACCTGAATGACGTTTAAGGTCCATGTTATTTTATGTTGAAATTTCGAAATTTTACTATACTTATTGATGTTATGTGATCCCAGCGTCCTTGTTATATATTGTTGTATTATTTCACTTCATAAACTGGCATTTTACCTTCGATTAACACCAAATTTTAATAAAACATTCACTACGTATACCTCATACACAACTGACAGGTTGACTGGCTCGGTGAAAGCTCGGGTATGCCGATTTCGGCATAGTATTTGTTGCCGCATTAGACAAGTACGCTGGCGGTATCTAGTCGAGTGTAGCGAGACCAATAATTCATCTATGATCTCAACATATATTTTTTTAACTTGTGTGCGTTCGAGTTGCGTCTGTCGAGAATGAACACAGACTGAATGACCTACAGACGGAGTTATTATCTTCACCAATGCTCACGTCAACACTAATTTAATGAAACTAGAAGGTATTATTTAATAAAAGATATGAGATAATAACGGAGTTACGGGTTTTGGATGATTCAATAGAGTTGTACTATACATCCAATTTGAATAAAAATATATTGATTTCTGAGTAATCTTATTTGTATTCATACTTCAAGCAGTTTTCCGACAGAAGCGGTCCTGTTCAGACGCGTTTAATCGTAGAGAAGAAGTATTGGTAGGATTTGTTCAGAAAATGTAACTAAGGAGTTATTTCTTTTAACAAATAAGAATATTATCAGTAGTATTATGCTCGAAGTCAGAATTTTGAAGGTGCAAATTTTAGTTTGTGGCGCCAATTTTCACAAAATCGCTTAGGAGTTTTTGCTAGTCAATACAAAATTTAATTCTAAGTCGAATGGCATAGATAATTCGTCCGACCTCTGAGTGTCATTTAGGAGACATTTGAACATTGTTGTCTTTAAGAAAATGTATTAAGTGCGGTTTCGAAAGGCGAACATATATACGTGCTATACGTACGTTATCAGCAAACTGGTCTTGGTTTGCCATCTTTTTACATAAGAATAATCTAATATGTTTAATGTACTCAAAAGGCACTCTGGTGGGATGACTATATCAAAGGTGCACAAAGGCAAAGCCATGGGCTTTAATAAGTAAGACAAACACTGGGAAGTTGAGTTTTACAATGTAGGACAGGGTATCGATAGAATTTGGCTAACCTTGCTCGATAGCGTTAATTGCTTTACCTATCCTAATTAGCAAACTAATTGTCGTTTTATTACCATAGGTTATAATTAAATTGGTCTACATTATTGTCTTTATCAGCAGTCATTCCTTACAAGATAGGTTTTGAACACAGAACGCAGGAACAGCTCTTTCTTCGATGCAGATCGGTTAATGACTGTATTTTCTTGTACAAAAATTTGTTTGCTACCCACAAGCGTATGGTCCGTCTGATGGTTAGCGGCCAAAATAGCCTATAGACGCTTGCTATAAAACTTTATTACCAAAACTAAGAACCGTCTTCATAAAAACAAAACCACTTGATAGTAAGAAATAATGAATATTCTTTACTCATATCATCTACATTTAAATTATGTTTCTATTTATTTTTTAAGCATTAAACTGCTAGATGTTTAAATCTAAAGAAAAGTTTACTAGAAAAAAATCCACGCGGACCAGGCAGCGGACGGGACTCGAACCCGCACCCTTCGCTATCCGGGCGAATGCACTGACCATTATGCTACCACGGCCCTTTTCGCCGCGTCGAAATTTTCCTAGCCTTAAGCTGCAAGGCAGCGCCATCTCTTCGCATTGTAGGTAATCCACAATGTCAAATGAATACTTTTTCAAGTATTAAACATTTGAAAGAAGAAATAGCAATTATAATTATGTTTCTATTTATTTTTTAAGCATTTAACTGCTAGATGTTTAAATCTAAAGAAAAGTTTACTAGAAAAAAAACTTTACTTTTTCTTTAAAATTTCGACGCGGCGAAAAGGGCCGTGGTAGCATAATGGTCAGTGCATTCGCCCGGATAGCGAAGGGTGCGGGTTCGAGTCCCGTCCGCTGCCTGGTCCGCGTGGATTTTTTCTAGTAAACTTTTCTTTAGATTTAAACATCTAGCAGTTAAATGCTTAAAAAATAAATAGAAACATAATTATAATTGCTATTTCTTCTTTCAAATGTTTAATACTTGAAAAAGTATTCATTTGACATTGTGGATTACCTACAATGCGAAGAGATGGCGCTGCCTTGCAGCTTAAGGCTAGGAAAATTTCGACGCGGCGAAAAGGGCCGTGGTAGCATAATGGTCAGTGCATTCGCCCGGATAGCGAAGGGTGCGGGTTCGAGTACCGTCCGCTGCCTGGTCCGCGTGGATTTTTTTTCTAGTAAACTTTTCTTTAGATCTACATTTAAAGTCAAATTATTATTTATTGTCGGTACCATGTATACAGCATCTGAGTTGTCATTTACTGCTCGAGTTGGTATGGCACCGTCTCCAAACTTTGATTTTACTTTAAGTGGATTGGACACTTGTAGACAACGGTTGAAAGAAGAGTGACGAGAAGAATTTGGATTCGTATTCGTTTGTGTGTGAAAATGTCAGAAGGTAGTCCATGTAAAACCTACCAAGATGAGATAAGACTTCATCTGAATAAGGGTTGCTCGATTATCACTAAAAACATCACGGATTAATGAAACTAGAAGATGAAAGAAAGGATTATGCTCATAAACATAGGGAATTCCGATGCAATGTTCCTCGTCTCAATGTAAAGAACGAATGGTCAGATAAGTTTGTAAGAACGCCGCGATCCTGCCGCCAATAGGTAATTGGTACAGGTGTGAATACTTCCTCCACACCTGGGCGGCGAAGCTTTGGTACTAAAATGCGCCAAAATTAGCGTTCTAAATTCGAATTAATTCTATCGTATGTAGGTACGCTTCTTTAGTGTCGCCGCACACGGGCCACCGACCACAACCACAAAACGCCGCCACCGGCATATTTCTTGTAGTTTGGTCCGGTGGCCGCCACACGCTACAAATCGTTGTTGCTCGCTTCTTGTGGCCCGCACCGGCCACTTAATGCGCAGATACAAAACGCCGCCACACGTCACTCGCGCGATTCCCCACCTCTCTCTCCCTTACTTAGTCGGCCGCTGTCGCGCGCATCAGCCACTTAAGTAGCCGCTTCTAGCTTCTCGTGGCGGCGTTTGTGATTGTGGTGTGTGGCCCGTGTGCGGCAACACTTAGCTGCATATACAAATTTATCGTCTCCCACAACCTCATTTATGCGTGTCAATAATCGCCAGTTATGCTCTCGTCTAACCTCTACAGATACACAACCCTATAATTCATTACGAGAGAACTAAATTCAAATTTTGAACATTAACTTTAGCGCATTTATTAAAGTGCCAACCAACCTGCGGCATGTAGGTGCGGGAATATAATTAGCTTCACCTTCACCATCGCTTTCTTTCTAAAGAGTTTTTAATATTGTGAGTGTCACTCAGTCCCTTTGCCTTTAATCAGGACCGTATCCATGAATATCATTCGTCTCCGCCTTCCTCCTAGCAGGCGTGTCGTCATAATGATGATGATGATGAAGAAACTCACCATCTTTTCTCTACCGCTGTGTAATAATCTGACATCTCTCTCCAAGTTGTAGCTTTCGTCATATCCACAATGTTAATCTTAGACGCACTTTCTTCCAAAATGTGATCCTTATCTTTGTTACACAATACTTGAATTAAGATCAAAAGTATACTAAAGAAAATCTGGAACATTTTGGCGTTATTTTCAACACTCGTGCTTAATTATCTATTGCAAACGAGAACTGCCACCCGTGCCTTTTTAATAATGAAAGAATTAAAGGAGAACTGTGATCTAAAGACAGATGTTATACCTAAACCTCTCCTAATCAATTGTTTGTATTCTTAACACCTTCCATTGTTTTGGGTCAGTAAACAACGAAAGTAACAGGTCCGTATTGAGTGCATATTTTTTTTGTGTGTATGCTGTTGGTCGCAGATTACCTTTGCAGCGTCACGGAGTTGCTGTGCTTGTGCTATGACACGCGATCAGTTAGGACACTAAACTAAAGAGATCGGTATATTTTGTTACATAATCCTACGATTAAATTGTCAATATCGTTATTAAAAAAAAAGGTGAATTTAAAAAATCAAAAAACCCGACTGCTTAATTATTCTTCAAATAAAAACTGAAAAGAAAAAAACAAGTCCAGTAGTCTATAATTCTGTTAATAAGGAACAAAGCTACTTTAACAGTCGGGACCCATTAGATATTCAAGAATACATAATATTTTTCAACAGTGGGTCCCGACTGTTAAAGTAGCTTTGTTCCTTATTAACAGAATTATAGACTACTGGACTTGTTTTTTTCTTTTCAGTTTTTATTTGAAGAATAATTAAGCAGTCGGGTTTTTTGATTTTTTAAATTCACCTTTTTTTATTTCACACTTTGTAGTTAGTATTTTAAGACGGTATATACCGTAGTCTTGTTACTTCAGTAAGGGAATTAATATCGCGGGAATTATTAAGTACCTTGCGTCGGTCTAAAAGATTGATTTGTTAAGACATATAAATAGTTTACCAGCGGGGTCAAGGCTACAGATGGGCCTCAATTTTCGCAAAAATGTGTGAAGTTAAATCAAGTCGTTACATAAATATCTCTAATGTATATAAATTTTATAGTAAACTAGCACTTACTCAAAAGTCATCTTTTGTTTATGTTTTTTTTTAATAGTTTAGCAGTAAATTACTTTTATTCGTCGACTATTTAAAATTGGCAGTGGCTGCATTGTCATGTCAATGCCGGACGTCGAAGATTGTGATATACACAAATTCAGTGTCAGTCCCTAGTCTCATAATTTGATATACCTACATTATTCACAGAAACCCAATATGTAGATGCCAGAAGTTAACTTCGTTGTTTTTAATCACCCTATATACAATACCAATCAATGACGTTTATGTCGCAGGTTGAAGAAAGAAGTAATTCCCATCTGTTGTTTTCGACAATGGTGGCAACTGCCTTACATCACTAAATTAAATAATTATGCAATCACCAAAGCAAAGTTTATAATATTTGATTAAACTAAAGGCGCATAATAAAATTTTCATAACGTTAGGTAGAGCACCATAGCAATCTCATTTATTATCAATTTATAGTTCTCTTTGTAGTTTTCTTTCAAAGCGTTCACATTTAACAGGTCAAAGACTTTGTGTTCGACCCTTTTCTATTGGTAGTGTAAAGCTCGAATGAAGATTACTCCCAATAGTGCAGTCATGGCAATTATTTTCCAAATTTTTTTTGTTATAAAAATACCGAATAGCGTATCACTGTTAAGCACAAATGCTAAGTAACTTTTACAAATATAATCAAATAAACCTATTACTTACTTTATTTTTAAATCCTTTTCATCAATTATTTCATCTTATCCTAACTATCTATACTAATATTATAAAGAGGCAAGATTTTTATGTTTGTAACAAATAAACTGTCAAACTACTGAACCGGTTTCAAATATTAATTCATCAAAAAATAATGTAGCTACCTTAATATTATTTTTTATAACATTTTTCTTTATTTAAATACATTTTGTCCGAGTGACATAGGCTATATTTTATCCCGATAAATTAATTTCGCCCGTACAATGCCCGAGTGCATCACTAGTAAGTATAATATAATATTATAGATGCGAAAGTGAGTTTGTTTGTTGCGCTTCCGTGCCCTAATAGCTAAATCGAATTTAATGAATTCCCATATAGAAATAGATGGGAACTTGGTTCTTAGCTACAACATCGCAATACTTATAGGCGTAGGGTGATGAAAGGAGTGATTTACCTATAAAAATCTACATTATTTACTTTGAATTTTGCAGAATTATTACAAAATCAATATTATCGCAAGCTGATTAATAAATACAGGGATTCCAATAAGTATGTACTTACTAGCTAAAAATGGGTTATTTGTCATTATATTAAGTAAACCTTTTTTGTAAAATTAAGTAATATCGTTAAAAAAAATGAAAAACAGTAAAATTCTGAGTTTTTCATTAAAATTCAATAATCATAAATACCTATTATGATAATATATTTTTCATCATTGAATAAGAAGGAACTGTATCACAGTTTTAATGTTAGTACTTCGTATAGGATCAGATACTGCGAATACCCCATTTTTTTTCTTTTACATAGTACACCGCGCTATCACTTTGTCATCGTTGTAACTTTTTAATATTTGTCGAAATGACATAGTGTAAAAAGCAAAGTTTATCATCTTTAAATATCAAAAGCGATAAAAGTATTTGTTTTGATAAAAAATGATTTGTTAATACAAAATGTGCATTTTGGAAATAGATATCAAATAATATTTTACTTTTGATTCACTATTTTAGCGGTAACGACTTACACATTAAAAATAGATTTATGGTGTCACGGACTTTTTTAGAACTATTTAAGAGATACATTTTCACTCTACATTACATTCATGTAACTTTTATTGTTTTTGCAGTGCAGGCCAAAATGGCTCGCAGATGGGACATTTTTTTCCGTCTTATGTGACACTTATTGCTATATATTGGCCAATTCACTCAATAACTACATAAATTATTATATATATGTAATTATCATATATGAGCTATATTACTGTTAAGTTTCATTAAAATCCATTCAGTATTTTTTAGGTGAAAGAGTAACAAAAATCCATACAAACGTAAGATTGAAATTAAAAGCGGAAGTGGTTAATATACAACTTTAAAGCGTTGTAGATCCTAAACAATCATATAAAATGAAAAATGGTGTTAGGAACCTAAATATGATTTTTGATTATCTAGACAGTGATACCCCACTCGACATATTTTGTCAACTTATTTTTTTTACTTCGTCACAATATGGCGCCTAATTTTGCCCATATTGAATTTTGATTACTATCATATCTTTAGTAGCACTCCCATGATTGAGACGAATCGATTGATGTATGAATCATCAAAATCGGTCCAGGCGTTTGGTCTCTAGTGTGCCACAAAGGAACAAACATACATATATAGACTGTTAAACACATAACCCTGTCTGCGCGTCGCGCTTCGCGCTCTTGCATTGCGCAGCCGGGTAAAAAAGCCTCTGTTCGTGCGTCGCTTAAAAGCTGTAATTAGGAAATTTCTGAAGAAATATGTATGTTTGAAAATCATCGCACGACGAAATCGTGCGATCGTTGCCAGTTAGCAAGACGCGGCCTTAGAGAGCGAAACAGTATCACACACGATCGATTCTTTGATTAAATGAACCCGCAAGAAAATACCTAATTTACCAATATTACATCTTTATATATATAATTATATAATATAACTTCTGTGAGTGTGTATGTCACTGAACTTCTCTTAAACGACTGGACCGATTTTGATGATTTTTTTGTGTGTGTTCAAGGGGATCTGAGAATGGTTTAGATTCACAATTTTGTCCGCTGGACAACCCCTATTTTTTTAGGGTGGTACGAAGTTCGCTGGGTCAGCTAGTATACAATATAATTAGGTATACCATTGCTAATTTACCCAGACTTATAATTTGAATGTTTTAAAACATAAGTTTTCGTTCGCAGTGTTGAGTTCGTCTCTGTCTGATGCTATGATACTAATTGTTATATGTTGTTATGTATTGATGATCATTTGTTTTTGTCATACAGATTTAGTTGCTGCTGCAGTAGTTGCTAGTGTGACAGGAAACATGTAGTCAAGGGTCAAAATGTATAAATACGTAATACGTATGAATTTTAATTAGACTTCTCCGGGATCCGGGATTGTGATAGTTTCGTAACAAAATAAACTAATAACGAATAACACCGCTGGCCTGCTTGATGTTTTAATTTAGGGGGGTGATGGGGGGTTTGATTTGATACTTTATTTTTTCAGGGGTGCAAATGTCCCTTAATTGATAAGACAGCATCTGGCTACCCTAATTTGAATGTATCACTAGATCACTTATTACAGTATAGAGGCAAAGAGTGATGTTGTAGGTCCAATTGAACAAACTCATTCTTGACTCACTTCACCGATAATTCGCTTAAAAAGTGGACCAGTTTTCTCATATATAGAGAATGCGTAATTTCACGCAGGAACTTCTTGTCCTGGACGAATGAAGATATATATTTGTAAATATATGTGTGTGTGTGTGTTGTCTCGTCGAAGGCTGAAATGCTACGAGCGTCACACGCGACAATATATATATATGTACACATGATTGATACATATAAATGATTGATGGGTGTGCTACTCTACTCCCCTATGCCTTATGCACCACCTAATATTAGGTTATTTAAGAAAAGAAGTTTCACTTCAGATGTGTGGGTCTGCACTCATTTTTTTTTATATTTCTATTTTCAGCATTTAACTAATAGATTGCCAGGACAGCGAAGGACAGGTTCGAATCCCGTCGGAAAACTTTGAACCGCGAAGACCGCTTGGATTTTTATTTAGAAAAAGAAAATCTGTTTTATAAGCCGTTTGTCGAAAACAATAAATATTTTATTCTATATGAATTGTTTAAGACAATTGTACCCAAATATTTAAAAGTTAACGCACAAGAACTATTTCTATATTGTAATGTAATAAACGTTTACGACAAAATAAAATACGCAATTTTAACTGAATGTAACGAGACTC